TGTATTGCAATGATTGGAGTGTTTGAAGGGGAATGTAGTGGGGGTGGGGGTGGGGGGGGTGGGGGGTGGGGGGGGGGCACCAGCCCCCATGCAGTTTGTCGCATGTTCTTAATTAAAAAAAAAATCTTTTCAAACACTTTCTCCTCTTGTCTACATTTAGTTTATGAGCTTCCTTCTAAGGTTTGGTCAATTTGCTGATGTTTCATTTTAAATGCAATGGCCAAAGCCCATCTAGTCACCAGAGATCACCAAATGCAATTAATGCTGCCGACTTAAGTGCATTCAAACTGCTCATCTACCGCAATTACAATTATTAATTCTTTTATCTTAAGATTTCAGCTCAGCATATGCATTTTGATGCAAATTCTAATTTTATCATTACCATAAATAAACAAACAAATAAATAAATAAATAAATAAATAAATAAATAAATAAATAAAAGGACTTTATCCAAAAATCTCTGAGAAAATAACCAGGTTCTGGAAACTGTACTAAAAATTGTCTGTTCCACAAATCAATGTTGTTTTCTTCAAGAATTAAATAATAACAAAACTAACTCTTTTTATAACCTTAAAAAAACAATGCAGTCCCTTGTTTTTCACTTCCAAAGATGTTATTTTTCCAACTGGTCCTTAATGCTACTTGTATGCATCCTCTGTCCTATGCAATGTTGTCAGACTTTCCGATTTCCAGTGAAAGATAGAACTGTCCCTGTTCAATATGGCTGACCTCAACGACAGTTTTCCCAGCACAGTGTGTAATGTGGGCATGTCTCTCCATAGCAACTGTCTACCGCAGACAACACAGCTCCTGGCAAATCAGCGCTTCCTGAAACAGGAACAATTTAAGACAATAATTTTTTTTCATATATTTACTGGATCAGATATGACACAACTTATGATCTGCAGAAAATTACCCTTTTTTTAATATATATATCCAAATGTTTCATGAAATTATCCAATCTTTCTTTACAGATAAGTGTAAAGAGCCTATGAATGTATCAATGTTGCACATAGTGCCCAGGATATTATATTTGTAATGTGTCTCTTTATTTGTTTCTTAAATAACAATTTTCATTTCAAAAAAATTAAAGACAATTACAATTATATCAGTGTTTTAATTTGAGTGCATATTTAAAAAATGTCAGTCTTCCAGTTCTAATTTACATCTCTTTTACAAATTTCACCTCATTCTTCCACCAACACAATATATCCATGTTACAAGCAGACATACCTCTATATACCCACTAATACTGAATACTAAAGCCACATACCAATATATGAATAATTGTGATGTACTAACAAAAATAAAGCCAAAGTTTCAGCACAGACTAAGCTTCTGCATTTTTAAATCTCCATAAATCTGAACTTCACTATGTTTAAGTGAAGTTTACTACACCAATCACATGTCTTTTAACTGTTACACAACATTTTCATTGATAAAAGAACCAGATGACCAAAAGGGGAATTTGTGCGCAACAAAGTAAAACTGAAATCAAACACCCTGCTGAAGGTAAAATTCTATCAGGCACATATGGTGATGTGAAAATGAAGAAGCTGGTACCCCGGGGACCTGAACCTCAGGGTGGGGCTGCCATACCAATAGTGCAAATGAACCACTAACAATTAACACTTGTGATTACTATGAATGACCTATTTGTCCAGGTTTTTCTTTTTTTTTTTTTTTTTGTTTGCCGTGTACACTGAATATTAACTTTTCTTTGGCCAAGTTGGGGCGTAAGAAAATTTAGAGCCACAGAATAAAAATAATAAACATTGCAATAAATAATAGTTATAAGCATGCAAAATTTCAACACTGTTGACTGCTGTCTATATAATATATATATATATAAATTAATCATAAATAATAATAATAATAATAATAATAATAAATACAACAACAACAGGCAAACAATAAAAAGTGCATAGACTCATGCAAGCATTCTTACACTGCTATAATTGGCAGGTTGCCTTGGGGCTTACTTGGTACCAAAGATCAGGTCTGCATCAGGGGCGCCCTTGGGGTGCTGGTACCGCACACGGCGCTCACGGTTCGTGTTTGGTGGCATGACTGTACGATTCATGTTCACCATCATTTCTGTAATAAAAGAAATGCTTTCTGTATGATTTTCATTGTTAGATTAAAAGTATTACGGCATTTTAAGAATACATATCTGCTTTTGCACTATCTGTATCTTTCACTTTTCTGGTATTACAACCAAAGTTCTGAAAATAACTATTTTATAATAACAATATGAAAGGAGTCACTAATACTGATCAAAGCAACAAACAAAATAGCAATCCAACAGAGAGCATCACAATTCTGTTGTAACAACTCAGAACATAGCAATAAAAGTGAAAAAAGTCTCTGGTAAACTGGTAATTATAACCCATTTTGTTCTATAATTCAAACAAACATCCTACAAAATTTGAACTTCACCCAGTCACATCTTGTATATGTTATGGCATCTTTTCCTCCTTTACCTTGATACTCCTCGTCTTCCTGTCTCTCCTGTATATCTAAGGTCATCTGTTTCAGCTTCTCTTTCTCTGCTCTCTCAGCCTGCTCTCTCTCCTTGAACTTTGCTGCCAGTTCTGCCGATATTGGCACATGCAAGGAGGCAAACTAGAAGAGTCAAAATGTAAGTGTTTTATTTATCAATATAAAACTAACTTTCAATATTTAAAAAAAATGAACCAATGCTGAAAAAAGGAAACATCCCAACCTTAAAAAAAAAAAATTGGATATTTTCATCCCTATATTTATTTCAAAGATGTTTCTTCGGGAATGACAAAGGATCACAATTTGCAGTACCGTGCATTCATTAAATATGACCTATAATTAAACACCAACAAAATTCTTCCCATTGCCTGCACCATCTTTATCACTGTACCTTTCACAAGAAATAAATAACAAGTTCATTATTTACTAAAATGCTTCACAGAGTACGAATGGCAGCAGAAAATAAATAAACAACTACAATTCAATAACAACAACATTTTCTACAGAAAGCCTCTAAATTGAAATATTTTTGGGCATAAATAAAATTCCATCAGTACTTACAATAGCAAATCAAGTGCCATGGCAAATTAAATACAGAAACTTCATCATCTCTCACCTGTTGTTTATTGCCTTTCTTGGTCATGAGTGTAAAGTTGATGGTCCCAGAAGACTCATCCATGGTGGAGACCCCAGGCCCCCACTTGCCTCGTGTCTGACCCTTCAGGTGCATGGGGACAGCTATGTCCAGGGTGGGCACCTTCACAGATTCCTTGGATCTAGCCTGGAGCCAAGTTTTAACTGTTTAAGTATATATATCTAATTAAATCTATCCCAATTCATAGTCTGTATAAACCGTGCAATTTGAAAGAGCAATCTGATAACCTTTTATGTAGAAGCATTTACTCATCCTGCTCTTTACATGCTCTTTATTCAGGTTTAGAATTTTTCATCCCTTCACATACAGACTGACTGCAGGTGACCAGTCTTTTCCCCCTTCCCGCCACCCCCTAAACAAACAGTTGACTATATCATATCGAAATACACACCATTCCTCACCAACACCACTGCCACTGAGCACCTTCATCTTCTGCCTGCCCAAAAATCCAACTGACTAGAGCTCATTCTTTACCACTACAGATACAGTATCAGCTATCTTCACCATCAACCACCATCTTCTGACCACCCCAGACCCCATGTGACCCATGCTAATTCTATTGACCACTACCTGTACAGTATCAGCAATCATCTTGTCCAGCTCAGTCATGAAATCATCGTCCTCCTGGCACTTGACCGTTTTGTCCTCCCCCGTCCTGATGAAGTGGACCTCGTCCTCTTGGTCCATCTCCCCGGCAGACTCCATGATCTCCTCCTCTCCCGTCTCTCCCGCCTCTCCAGTCTCCCCCTCACTCTCCTCCTGACTCTGGCTGATGTGGCCAGCGGGTGTCCTGTCCTCTTCACTCTCAGCAGTACTGCTGTAGTCCTCTCCAAGCCTGGCCTGGGACAGACTCAAGCTCAGCTCCTCCACTGGGAACAGCAATGGAGAATAAATGGGGTTTTATTTCATATCAATATTGATCTATCAATACTGATAACAATATTGAATATTTCTTTGATATGACAATATTTATAGCAATATTGAATATTTCTTTGATATATTAATATCATTTCTGATGTAAATGTTTCTTTGACATTGATAGATCAATACCGATATCAACATGAAATATTTTTTTGCTATTCATATTGATATAATTATCATGTTAGTATAGTGAGACACTAGGTGAAATTTTGGAGAACAATAGCTGATTTAACCTGTTGATCAAAGAAAATATCTCATTCACAGAGTGGTTAAAACTGAAGAAATTCCTTATTTGGTGTAGTATTGTATCAGAAATAACTATTCAAAGCAGTATATGATTGCATTTACAGTATATTTACTTAAAAACTGAGTGTGCTTATTCGTACCAGATTCATCAGCCTCTTTAATAGAGTGCAGGACTCTGTCTTCAGTCTCACTTTCTGTCTGCTCATCAGTATCTTGTATGGGCAATATGGATGCTGAAATGAAGGAGTAAAGTTGAACTTGACTGGTTATCTTAAAGTAATGAAGTGTGAAGAATCATGTGGTTTTATCAAATTTTTCTCCATCTTCATGTCTGTTCCGCGAGTTATTTTTCATTTTTTCATGAAATGATGCCAGCTGTGTGCTTGAGCTGTCACAAACTAAACATTCATTAAATATATTTAAGAAGCTTTGGCATCATCAATGCACAATTAAGCATTGATAATAAGTTGTTTGTATCTATATATTATAGGCAAATCTGATGCGTAAATATTCAACTTTGGAGATTCTGAAACACACATTGCATTTCCTACACGCAAGCAAACATATCTTCCACCATTCACTCACCCAGTTTCTCCCTGATCTCTTTCTCCAATTCATCCACTGCCTTCTGTGCCTCCTCAAAGCTGGTACACAGCTGTAGTTTGGGTCTCAGGCTCTCCAAGGTGTCTCTGTACAGGTACTCTATGTCCATGGGGAATGGACGCTCCTCTGTCCAGATGCTGGCCTGGCGCTTAAACCAGTAGTACCTCTGCAAGATACATAGGAAGAATTGAGCTTGGCATATAAGAATAGTGTATATGTATAAATATATGCATGTGTGTATGTGTATGAAAGTATGTGTGTATATGGTTGAGTCAAAAATTGGTACAGAATTCAGCCTTTCTATGCATGTAAGTGTGAGAGGAAGGAGTGTGAATAAGCTTGTGCCCATAAATACTATTAAGTCATCTTTTTTATGCATGTAAGAATTGTGGTGTGGTGTGGTGTGTGTGAGCGCGCGAGAATGCCTGCATGCGTGCCAGTGTGTATAAAAAATGTGCTCACTTTTTACCCTTAATTACAAGCAACTTAACATTGGGTTAAAATGTTCACCACACTTTCAGCAAAACCAACAAACAGTAAGTCTGGCAGTAGATGCCACACTGAATACTGACCTGGAAGTAAACCAGGAAGCAGTCCATCTTTTTCTTGCTTGACCCTCGGTCAAAGTACTGACCACATACGTCCAACAGCACACAGACCAAGCGAACACGGAACAGATGCTCTGGCTGGTCAAGGATGTTCGGGGCATTAGCTGTAAATAGATGACCAAAGGTACGAGTATTGAGTAACATCTTACAAGATACTGTTGAGAATAATGTGATGCCAGGATAGTTATCAGGTGTTGCTTGGTGATTGGTTGACATCACTATTCAAATCAAAGTTGCACACAAAAATTATCAAACATCAAGTTTGTTAATATGAGACTAATTTTTGTGAAAACTTACTCAACACAATACAACAAATAAATCTGTTAACAAGTTAACTCTAAACAATGGGAAATCTTTTGAGAAATACCATCTTAGTTTATCTACTTTGCCTGATTTCATGCCAACAATAAAACATTCTTTTCATGAAATATCATCTAATTCTACCTACTTCACACAATCTTATGCCAACAATGACAACATGTTCTTAAGTGTTCCTGAGGTGAGACTTTCACACCCTGCTTTAACTCACCCTCAAGAAAGACAGCAAAAGTGATGAAGGTGTAGAGAGTTTTAAAGATGACAGCGGACTCCACCATGCGGTAGTTGTACAGCTCTCCCAGGAACTTCACCATACTGACACGACGCTGGTTAAACTTAGGATGATTGATCTAGGAAGGGACAGGTGTTATTACTATAATACTTCTATATTAATACATATAATTAGTTCATTTGTCAATTCATTCATGTTTTTATTTATTTGTTATTTATATGCCAGCCTATTTATATCTTTATTCATATTTCTATTTAGTCATTATCCCTTTCACTTATCGACTCGGCTCGACTCTACTCGTCTCTTCTCTCTATCTCCAGCATTAGTATTTCAAAAAAAAAATCTTCCTGTCAGTTACTCATGATTAAAACCAATTATCAATGTGACGCATTTGAATCTATCTGTATCATGATTGTAAATCAATCCAGGGTCATGAGGAAATGCTCACCTCCATGCCAATCCTGATGTCTTCTAACACACCATCCACCACATGGATTGCTACCTCCTCCTGAAATATCCAGTAATATTCATTATATGATCATAGTAGTATATTCAATGAAGCCTCATTCACTGAAGAAATTTTCATGACAGACATCGTTATATTAGAAAAGGAATACCTTTAACCTAAGTGTTGCTGTCGTTTTGAAGAAACTACATAGTAACTCAAGTTTTACTAAACAGGATTCTGATGAACTGTATTTCAATTTTCTTTTTTTTTTTTTAAACAGAATTTGACTGAAATATATCTCCATCTTGTCCATACACATTTCATACATAGTAATGTTATACAAGTACAATTTATCCAATGGCAATAAGACATATCATCAATCTCTTTAGAAATGTATCTATTTCAGCCCAGCTTACATGGTAAGGAGCCAGTCCTGCTAGCAGGTTAGCTGCACAGTGGATGTTGTTATAGCGCATGTTCCACACATGAATGATACATTTGGTCATGTAGGAGGACACCTGGAAAATATCGGTTTTATTATTTCAGCCCTACATTGTATTATACATATTGACTGGTTATGATTCTACAATGGCTACAATGTTATGCAAGCACATGCTTTCCAATAATTTCTACTTAAATGTCAACATGACAACTTTCCTTTAGACACCAGATGTGTATGTGCAAAGTTCATAGATTGTACTGTTAACCTCTTCACACCCCTCCTTGCTCTACTTCAGGGTCATCCCACTTTAGCCCCCCCTTTACACACACACATACACACACTCTCTCTCTCTCTCTCTCTCTCTTTCTCTCTCTCTCTCTCTATCCATCCTCTACCTCAGGGTCATCCCAGTTCAGCTTCCTAGCCTGCCTCAACACTTTCTCTGTGGTGGTCTTGGACAGGTCTTTGTACAAAAGCTTCCTGATGTACTCCTGCCAAGCCGGCCTCTCTGCACGCACCATCTGGGGCAGGTCTGGAGGATTGCTGTAGTAGTAGGCATTCTCTATCATGGTGGTGTACCTGCTATCCATGGTCAGGGCTGTCTTCTTCCTCATCATCACATCCTGCATCACATATTACATTGTGAATTATACCGAGGGTCTGTTATATTTTAATTTTCTTTATCTTTCAAAAATACCCTGTGAAAACTTTGTTTTATTTTATTTCAAGAAAATAATCCATTACTTATTTTGTACAAAGATCCATGCTGACCAATTTACTAAATTTTTTGCTTCTGACAGTCCAAAATTTCACATGAAATGACAATAAAAATTAAACCTTCCAAAGGTAACAAAGAAGAACAAATAGTATCATCCACCAAGTTAAATAAATAATAAATATTTCATTCAACATGTTTTCAGATCAAAGTATCTAAGTCCCCAGGCAATCTCTTACCAGGTAGACTTTGGTCCTGTGGTGGGAGTCTGGAGACCTGTATAAGTAGCGTCCACATGTGTCCAGTAAGGCACAGGCCATCTCTATGTTATGATGGCTGAAGTCAAACAGCAGCATCTGAAATAGTGGGGGCGATAAGTTATCTTGGACACTAGGACTTTAAAAAAAATTTCACTGGGCACGCATTACTGCGACTAATGGGAGAGATCTAGGGTGTTTTTTATTTCTAATTTTGCCCTACTTATTTTCTCTATTTTTTCTCTTTTTCAGATGCTTTTTCTTTCTTGGGACTTGGGGTCACAGCACAAAATACCAAACATACACTTTTCATAATAAATATATTTTCCATATAAAATTTATCCAAGAGATAAACCAACCCACCTTTAAACAATGAAGTGCCTCTGCCTTAGAAAACATTTTGAATTTCACCAACTCCCCTGAAATTTCATTTAAAAAGTTTACATATCAGTTAAAAGAGATACGTCTATAAATTTTATCCAACAAAGTGTCTTTTTGACAACCTCAATTTTTAATTTTCTCCATTTAACTGCCTGATCACATGTGCTTTTTATTGTCCTGAAATGCAGAGAACTACTGCATCCTTAAGCATTCCGTGCTGAACAATTATACTTCAAAATAGTCCACCAAATGCAACTTCACTAAAGGCGTACTCAGTAACAAAATGTTATTCTTATTAGAACCAGTGGTAACCTAGCATCTGGATATCCAGGGAATTGATCAACTCTTTATATGCAGCGAAATATCCAATTAATGTTCTTTTATATTACATATATACAACATAGCTTATCTGTATGATAACAATTATTTCAAAGATATTGCTACAAACTACTGCTGTTACTACCTACCAATAAACCTAATAGTCTTCAGCTTGGACTCAATGTTGATTTGATCCTTTTTCCTGACATGCCACTTGAAATCTCCCTTTAAGAAGGTAGCCAAATCAGTAGCAACATCTGGCATACAGGGATGCAGCACTGCTACCAGACGGGAATAGAATGGCAAGAGATCGTACCTGTGTGCATAAATATTACATCACTGATATTATTGAAGATAGGCGTCAATGCTTTTGTAAATATCTCATATTTACTCATCGTTTCACTAATATGCAAACTCAGAAATAATGTGCATGCTTGAATACTTGAGAGCTATTTTGGTCCACCATATCTAAATCTGACGCTAAGTCTTGTGCCATTCATCTCTTCCATTAAAATTAAAGGGATAATAACTCTTCGTTTCGGCCAAATAATGAATTTTCCTGGAGTAAACAACAATTTTCCCATACTTACCAATGGTTAATGAATCCATTTTTACATTCAGAGTTAGTCCCTGTTTTTTTTTCTAAAAAGTTTGGTTTTTTGTTAAAATCTCTTAAGAGATTTTAACAGAGTATAGCCATCAGTGGAGATCACGTTGTCTAAAGACAAGCTCAGACATCAGATCAATAGCTCTAACTGCCGTTTTTGTGGCAAAACAGAATATATTATAAATCTATGAGTTATTCACAATGTTTTTATTGTGAAATATAGATCTCATACGAAGAGTTATTATCCCTTTAACATTATCAACTATTATAATGGGATATGAACTGTTTTTATGGGAAGAAATTTAAATTTTCTTTTTTGCTGTCTGTAAGAAAAAAGTGACGCATTGGTACTTTAAGTCAATTCAACTGCACACTGTCAGGAAATGGGCAGATGACACCTACCTTGTTCTCTGCACTGTAAACAAGGCTCTGACTAGCTTCTTTCTGTTGTTTTTGGTATTTAGATTCATGCAGAAGTCCATTGCACTCTGATGGAAAAATTTAAACACATCGTATCAGTAGTACATTAGTACTCATTCCATTAAGTCTTTATATTTATCAAGTTTCTACTGCCTCAGTAACACCCTTGACAAAACTGACAGACATTTGCCCAGTGTGAAACAAACAATAAGCTTAGATCCTGTAACAGTGTGGGAAAGTTAAACCCTACTAATTGCTCAACAGATTGCTATAGCAAATTTAGAACTGCGAGAAAACATACCTTGTCTATGAGATCTCTGTTCACTAATGTAGGCAAACTCTGTAGAAAACCATCCAAAATCAGCTTTTTGGTCCCAGCATCAACCTCATCATGATCATCTGAAAATTAACATTAATATCCTATTAAAAAATCTCTTTGTCCATTCAAAATCAATACGATCAAAATTTTCATATCCGTTACATTTTTCTCTAGAATTACTCTCTTCTTAGTTCCTGATTATCAAATGTTTTTTTCCTGTTTAAAAGAGCTCAAACTCCTTTCACCACTGCAATGACTAATCTCTAGAACTCAAATCCAAAACCGTTTTTATTATCTAGTACACAGAAATTCATTTCGTCACTCCACCTTCCACATCCAGCATTTCCTCTACTGCCATCTCCTCCTCTTTCTCCCCTTCCTTCTTTCCATCCTTGTTCTCCTGTTTTTTACCTTCCTCTTCAAGCTCTTTCTCTACATCTTCTATGTTCAAAGCTTCAAGATCTTCATAAATAAAAGTGCATGCATTATATATTAGCAATACATGGTTAAATCAAGGTAAATCATAACAATGACTTTTTTTATTCTTTTAACTTAAATCAATTTTCACTAAATTTTACTTTTTTCGCTGGTACAAATATGATAAGCATGAATAATCTATAGTGACAAACAGAGATTGCACAAGATCCGGTGAACTTATACTATACATAAATGTGAACAATGGTTTCAGACACATCATATCATACATGACTCACCATCTTCTAGGCCTAACTCTTCCTCTGCTGGTGCCGTGGCTGCCTGCTCACTGTCCTTGTACAGAATCTGTATAGAAAAAATATCAATTAAAGATAAGAATGTACGTAAATTTAACTCATCAATTTTACTGTTTTTTTCCCCATATAATTACTGTAAAATAGTTTTCAACAGTTACAAAAAACTGAAATCAACACACAAGTCCATTCACTCTCTACAAATAATGACTTTTTCTCTCACAAGTGTTCAAACTTACCCCTGGGATCAGCGCCCGCAGATCTGGCAGTGTCTCATAAAATGCTCTCGTATCCTCATCTTCAAACAATGTTGTGTCTCCTTCATACTGATACTGGATAAATGAGAGAAAAGTGTTTTGGGTGATAAAATCAAATATCATAAACTAAAATTAACTGATCAGCTACCAATACAGAATTGAACAATTAAAAATCAGGCTAGTAAGTAACTTACTTCAAAATGCCATGGCTGTATTTCCAAAATGCCTCAAATCAGACATTTTTATAACTAACTTTAAATTAAAATGTAATCGAAAAGAGAATCAGACTTAAGTGAAATCCATAAACTTTACAGAATTTACCCAAAGTATACGGCTAAAAAGAATATAATAGTCATTTGTGTCCTTTTAGTGTTTTTATATTTCTTGACAATGTTCTTTACATACAGGGAAATGATTGTCTAACAGTTGAACTATTTACCTCTCCTGGCTTCATAGGACTGAAAATATCCAGACCCATACCATCATCATCTGCTTTGTGTTCTGGAAAAAATTAAGAGGATGTGAAACAGAATCACATGAATATACCTTCAACATCACTATCATTACTCTAAACTTAGTACAGCAAAAACACACCAAAAACTGAAAACAATTTTAAAGGGGATGTCTGTCAACTCTTCACTTTGAAACTTAAAATATAAGATTGTGTAAAATTTATATGAACTTCTCAATACAATGGTGCAACTGATAAAATTTGCATTACCCTCTTCTTTCAAATCAGGCATGTCTTCATCGAGAAGGTCCTGAAAATGACAACCTCTTATATCAGTTTAAGGGAAGGTAGCTTCTTTGGGCTGAATCTCTAATTCATTGATCTGTCTCAAGTACTATTCAGATTAAACACTTTTTTATTCATTTCGTAAACAGTCTTGTCACTATATGTGCCTTTATTTTAAGGAACTATTCAGTCTATTAAAGATTTTTTAAAAAGTTTTGATAAGATCATTGTTATTATCATTACTATTATTCCACCTAGAATTATTCCAAACACTTACAGCGTAGGTACTTGTGTTTGTGAACAACTTCTGATAAGCTGTCAAAGCAGCCTCGTATCTCTCCTGTCTTTCCCCACTCAGCTCCCCCTTGGTCTGAAATTACAAATATACAATTTATATATAAATTGTATATAAATATACAATTTATATATAATTACAAATATCTACAGGTACCCCTTATCAATTCTTCACACTCAACACAGCCTATAATTTCAACAGCTTTTATATGTGATGTAATCCTAATACAAATTATTATTATCTGTAGTGTATTATAAAATCTGTATCATTTACAAGCCTTACTAAAACAATCATAAATATCTAATGAAGATGTTAGTCTCATGCTGAGAGCACCTGCAGTATTTTCCTGTTCATTTTCTCCATGTCCTTCAGCTGTTTGTGTTCATTCAGCAGGTGTTTGCTCAGCGCGTTGTAGTACTCTTTCAGCAGGTTCCTGCAGGCTTTCTGGCGCTCTACTGGCAGAATATTATTACAGACAAGTTCTTTGCCATATTTCTCTGCCAGTAACCTTAAACACACAAATTTTCAGCATAGGTTTCAATTTCTGTATAACTGTATACTTTTCTAAATTTACCTTCGTTCTCAACACTTTAAACAGCACAAAATACCTCTTAGAGTGCACTCCCAGAGATTTAGATCGATCCATCCAGATCGACCTAACTCCCTGGGGGTTCACGCTAAATTGTAGTCAGCCGAGCACGCACGACAGTTAATTACCCCCTTACAGCTTTTAGTAGGCGGGACAGACGTTTAAGCCGGCTAAGCTGACAGTAATCTAGTGAGACTCCCCACAGGGATAGATCGATCTAAAATCTGTGGGAATGGGGTCATAGTCATTTACATGCTATGATACACAAGTTGATCACAGTGGTGAGTTATCATGGCTAAGCCCCTTATTCTTGTATATACAATTAGTTGGAAGCACACGGAGTAGATGTCCTACAATATATGCAATGGGACAAAATTTGAATTAAAATACAAAAGAAGATCAATCCAGTCTTTAAGTCACAAACTACTATCTTAATCAGGGGCCAGATCCAGAGATATTTTCTGACAGTCTTCCAAATTCTTTGTTGATCCATCCTCCATTTTTGAACGTCTTCTGACCGAACAAATTAGATATCGGTCAGTGTAAACTTGAAACTCTGACTGTCTTCCAGATAACCTAGAAGACGACCTCAATCCGCCCCTGTTAACCACCCTCTGTATAAGTCTATGCATTAAACCCATTATTCTCATAACAGAACTGCACATGCACAAAGACACCTAGTACCTTATCTTCCTGGGTATCAATCCTGCGTAGCCCTCACCACAGTGCTTACAGAAGCTGATGAGGATGGACAGGTTGTTGAACTCTTCCCTGTCCGTACTGACCAGTACAGAGAGCTGAGTGGACAACAGGGGCAGTCCCTCCTTCTCTGTGAACACCCCCACTGCTATCAGATCAGCAAAGAACCTCAGGTCTACCCTGTACTTGCTGGGGTTGGAGATCTACAGACAGAGATATACAACCAGTAATTTAAAATTGTATATGAAATGAACTTGCTAGTTTTTTTTCTTTTGTTTTAACTCAAAAATGATTTGTTAAAATTTTTGGCATTTTGTTAATTGGAAAATGATTACTGAGAAGGTCCAATGGTTTTAAAATGAGTGCACATATTTCCATTAAAAAAATCATAATATAATACGACTATCATTATTGTCACCTTCTGTTTTAAAATAATTTTTCTTTTACTGTGAGCTTATTTGGGTTTGAAATAAATAAAATATAAGACAAAAAATAAGCTCATTCCACACTTGGAAAAATCACACAAACTGAGAGACACCAAAGCTGAAAATTTGTTATCTACATTTTAAAACTGTAAATTTAATTCAAAAGTTTTAACTTCAAACCCCGCATTTTTATAACAACCCACAACCAACCCTGACCTTTTCATCTTTCTTAGATAACAGAATCTTGTGGAAGTTCTCCAGTAACATGGAGGAGAAGTCTGCGTAGCGCTGGTGAAGTAGACTACAGAGGTGGACTGCACAGGCAACATCAGACATCTTCAACTTGGCCTCTGTCACAGACACTGCCTAATATTGAGAACAAGAAAGATGAAAGAAGAATAGAAAACTGTAGTTATTAATCAAAGGTGTTAGCAAAACATGATCATGTTCTTACATGTGGGCAACATTTGCAATGTTCAATTTTCCCCCAGTCACAGGGAGTGTGACATTACTAAAAATAAATATATTTGAGCTAGGCAATAAACATCTACATATAAATAAATCCCAAATAATGCCCTAAATATCATGTCAGAGTCGATCATGTATCCTTCATATTATATCTAAACTGTATGATACCCTTCAAAGTTTTTAGTCATTGCTAAATCAAATGCTCATGTTTTTTTTCAATGTAATCTAAATGACAATGCATGACTAATTAAACCAAACATTTCAAAGTTTTTACAATTATAATGATGTACGAGGTATTTCATATGTCACACAGACATATAATGGTTCAAGCTGAAATAAGCTGTAAATTTGTTGAAAAACTTACTGCCTCTCCAATATATTTTGTGAGATTGAGGGACTCAAAATCCTTGCTCAGAGCATCTTTCTGGGCTTCTGTTATATTTCTCTGCAACAACATCAAAATCAACAATCAAAACAACTTTAACATTAAACACACATTTAATGTTGTAATTTCCGATGCTATAAAAGGTATACTCAACTAGATTAACGTAGTGTGATAATGATTTTTCAACAGCAAGACACCTATTTTTGTTTCAAAGTAAATGAACCCAAAGCTGTAGAAATCATATCTAACTTTTTTTCTTACCAACTTCTTAACAAATGCAGTATTCTTCTTTAAATTGGAATCCAGTTTAGTAAAAAAGGAGTCGGATGGTCTATTGTCTGCAAACAGAAAATGTTCAGATTATAAATTTATTAGCCGCAAACAAATCTCAAACAAATTTAAACAATCTAACCTATTTACCCTGATCTTTACATTCTTGCAGACAACTTGTCAACTGTCAGAAACTTTACCTATTNCACCCTCTGTATAAGTCTATGCATTAAACCCATTATTCTCATAACAGAACTGCACATGCACAAAGACACCTAGTACCTTATCTTCCTGGGTATCAATCCTGCGTAGCCCTCACCACAGTGCTTACAGAAGCTGATGAGGATGGACAGGTTGTTGAACTCTTCCCTGTCCGTACTGACCAGTACAGAGAGCTGAGTGGACAACAGGGGCAGTCCCTCCTTCTCTGTGAACACCCCCACTGCTATCAGATCAGCAAAGAACCTCAGGTCTACCCTGTACTTGCTGGGGTTGGAGATCTACAGACAGAGATATACAACCAGTAATTTAAAATTGTATATGAAATGAACTTGCTAGTTTTTTTTCTTTTGTTTTAACTCAAAAATGATTTGTTAAAATTTTTGGCATTTTGTTAATTGGAAAATGATTACTGAGAAGGTCCAATGGTTTTAAAATGAGTGCACATATTTCCATTAAAAAAATCATAATAAAATACGACTATCATTATTGTCACCTTCTGTTTTAAAATAATTTTTCTTTTACTGTGAGCTTATTTGGGTTTGAAATAAATAAAATATAAGACAAAAAATAAGCTCATTCCACACTTGGAAAAATCACAAACTGAAAGTCACCAAAGCTAAAAATTTGTTATCTATATCCCAAAACTGAAAATTTATATCCAAAGTTTTAACTTCAAACCCCACATTTTATAACAACCCATAACCAACCCTGACCTTTTCATCTTTCTTAGATAACAGAATCTTGTGAAAGTTCTCCAGTAACATGGAGGAGAAGTCTGCGTAGCGCTGGTGAAGTAGACTACAGAGGTGGACGGCACAGGCAACATCAGACATCTTCAACTTGGCCTCTGTCACAGACACTGCCTAATATTGAGAACAAGAAAGATGAAAGAAGAATAGAAAACTGTAGTTATTAATCAAAGGTGTTAGCAAAACATGATCATGTTCTTACATGTGGGCAACATTTGCAATGTTCAATTTCCCCCCAGTCACAGGGAGTGTGATATTACTTAAAAACAGTCAGACAGACAGACAGACAGACAAACAAACAAACAGGGGTGAAAACAAAACCTCCTTGGCGGAGGTAATAAATATATTTGAGCTAGGCAATAAACAACAGCATCTACATATTTATAAATCCCAAATAATACCCTAAATATCATGTCAGAGTCGATCATGTATCCTTCATATTATATCTAAACTGTATGATACCCTTCAAAGTTTTTAGTCATTGCTAAAGCAAATGCTCATATTTTTTCAATGTAATCTAAATGACAATGCATGACTAATTAAACCAAACATTTCAAAGTTTTTACAATTATAATGATGTACCAGGTATTTCATATGTCACACAGACATATAAATAATGGTTCAAGCTGAAATAAGCTGTAAATTTGTCTCGAAAACTTACTGCCTCTCCAATATATTTAGTGAGATTGAGGGACTCAAAATCCTTGCTCAGAGCATCTTTCTGGGCTTCTGTTATATTTCTCTGCAACAACATCAAAATTAACAATCAAAATAACTTAAACATTAATTGCACATTTAATGTTGTAATTTCTGATGCTATAAAAGGTATACTCAACTAGATTAACGTAGTGTGATAATGATTTTTCAACAGCAAGACACCTATTTTTGTTTCAAAGTAAATGAACCCAAAGCTGTAGAAATCATATCTAACTTTTTCTCTTACCAACTTCTTAACAAATGCAGTATTCTTCTTTAAATTGGAATCCAGTTTAGTAAAAAAGGAGTCGGATGGTCTATTGTCTGCAAACAGAAAATGTTCAGATTATAAATTTATTAGCCGCAAACAAATCTCAAACAAATTTAAACAATCTAACCTATTTACCCTGATCTTTACATTCTTGCAGACAACTTGTCAACTGTCAGAAACTTTACCTATTTTGCGTACTTCTAACCTCAGCACTGTTCAATTAACATGGCTACTGCAAATTTTCATTCAACAATTTGGATTTTTAGCTGTCATGAAAGAAAGGTATGTTGTACCAACAGCTTCATTTTAGGCTTTTTTAGATGATTCCCATGGGCCGAAATCCCTGCCTTGTAGAAATGATGCTCTTTGGCCACAACATCAAAACTATTTGTTAAGACTAATCCAGAACACTTCCATGTCTTTACAATTCTATTTGTACTTTCAATTATAAAACCTTCCCAACCACTGTTAAGCTGCTGAAAACATCAATCCCAAGAGCATGTTACATCAAAGTCACTTTAGTAAAATGATAAGGACAACCCTTCTATACCTGCTGCATTGAGGTTTTTTTCCCTGAGAAATGTTCTGATTTCTGAGCTTCTTCTGGATTCTTCTAAGTATTCTTGAAGCAGTCTCTGTCAAACAGAAATAGAACATGTATACATTTTCAACATATTTTTATCACTACATATAATTCTTCTGAAAAAATCAATCATAAAACATTTCAAGTGCAGTTATATCTATAAAATTCATCTCATAAACTTGTGCTTAGATAAAATGAAGCAAGTTTTCTAGTAATTAATTTACTAATCCATCAGTTCAAGAACAATGTTAAATATTAGAAAGCTTATCATAAGATTGCTTGTCCTCAACTTTCCATTGATTCTTAAGCCTAAAAATACATCACATTTTTGATAATTCTGTACAAATATTATACCTGTTCTTCTTCTATAAGCCTCTGTGCTTCCTCTTCCTCCCTTTTCTGGATGAAAATGATTTACATCAAAAATGCTATATCAGTACATATTGTATTGAGCACTGCATCAATACAACATCTACAAAGACTACAAGGACAAGCACACTTGCCTAGCTAAATTTATACAAAATCAAAGAGTCAAATTCTCGTTTTAAAATGCAGACACCAAAAATAATTGCACATTATGTCCAGCTTACTAAAATTTACAACTAATACCTTTCTTTCTTCTTCTTCCCTTATCTTCCTCTCTTCTTCCTGTCGTCTTCTTTCTTCTTCTCGAACCCTTTCTTCTTCCTCACGAATTTTACGCTCTTCTGCCTTTCTCTTATCCTCCTCCTAATAAAAAACAAAACCCTCACTGAGTAATTTAATTTTAGCTGGTTTACTCAGGATAATAATAATAATAATAANTATAATACGACTATCATTATTGTCACCTTCTGTTTTAAAATAATTTTTCTTTTACTGTGAGCTTATTTGGGTTTGAAATAAATAAAATATAAGACAAAAAATAAGCTCATTCCACACTTGGAAAAATCACACAAACTGAGAGACACCAAAGCTGAAAATTTGTTATCTACATTTTAAAACTGTAAATTTAATTCAAAAGTTTTAACTTCAAACCCCGCATTTTTATAACAACCCACAACCAACCCTGACCTTTTCATCTTTCTTAGATAACAGAATCTTGTGGAAGTTCTCCAGTAACATGGAGGAGAAGTCTGCGTAGCGCTGGTGAAGTAGACTACAGAGGTGGACTGCACAGGCAACATCAGACATCTTCAACTTGGCCTCTGTCACAGACACTGCCTAATATTGAGAACAAGAAAGATGAAAGAAGAATAGAAAACTGTAGTTATTAATCAAAGGTGTTAGCAAAACATGATCATGTTCTTACATGTGGGCAACATTTGCAATGTTCAATTTTCCCCCAGTCACAGGGAGTGTGACATTACTAAAAATAAATATATTTGAGCTAGGCAATAAACATCTACATATAAATAAATCCCAAATAATGCCCTAAATATCATGTCAGAGTCGATCATGTATCCTTCATATTATATCTAAACTGTATGATACCCTTCAAAGTTTTTAGTCATTGCTAAATCAAATGCTCATGTTTTTTTTCAATGTAATCTAAATGACAATGCATGACTAATTAAACCAAACATTTCAAAGTTTTTACAATTATAATGATGTACGAGGTATTTCATATGTCACACAGACATATAATGGTTCAAGCTGAAATAAGCTGTAAATTTGTTGAAAAACTTACTGCCTCTCCAATATATTTTGTGAGATTGAGGGACTCAAAATCCTTGCTCAGAGCATCTTTCTGGGCTTCTGTTATATTTCTCTGCAACAACATCAAAATCAACAATCAAAACAACTTTAACATTAAACACACATTTAATGTTGTAATTTCCGATGCTATAAAAGGTATACTCAACTAGATTAACGTAGTGTGATAATGATTTTTCAACAGCAAGACACCTATTTTTGTTTCAAAGTAAATGAACCCAAAGCTGTAGAAATCATATCTAACTTTTTTTCTTACCAACTTCTTAACAAATGCAGTATTCTTCTTTAAATTGGAATCCAGTTTAGTAAAAAAGGAGTCGGATGGTCTATTGTCTGCAAACAGAAAATGTTCAGATTATAAATTTATTAGCCGCAAACAAATCTCAAACAAATTTAAACAATCTAACCTATTTACCCTGATCTTTACATTCTTGCAGACAACTTGTCAACTGTCAGAAACTTTACCTATTTTGCGTACTTCTAACCTCAGCACTGTTCAATTAACATGGCTACTGCAAATTTTCATTCAACAATTTGGATTTTTAGCTGTCATGAAAGAAAGGTATGTTGTACCAACAGCTTCATTTTAGGCTTTTTTAGATGATTCCCATGGGCCGAAATCCCTGCCTTGTAGAAATGATGCTCTTTGGCCACAACATCAAAACTATTTGTTAAGACTAATCCAGAACACTTCCATGTCTTTACAATTCTATTTGTACTTTCAATTATAAAACCTTCCCAACCACTGTTAAGCTGCTGAAAACATCAATCCCAAGAGCATGTTACATCAAAGTCACTGTAGTAAATTGATAAGGATAACCCTCTATACCTGCTGCATTGAGGTTTTTTTCCCTGAGAAATGTTCTGATTTCTGAGCTTCTTCTGGATTCTTCTAAGTATTCTTGAAGCAGTCTCTGTCAAACAGAAATAGAACATGTATAAATTTTCAACATATTTTTTATCACTATATATAATTCTTCTGAAAAAATCAATCATAAAACATTTCAAGTGCAGTTATATCTATAAAATTCATCTCATAAACTTGTGCTTAGATAAAATGAAGCAAATATTCTAGTAATTAATTTACTAATCCATCAGTTCAAGAACAATGTTAAATATTAGAAAGCTTATCATAAAATTGCTTGTCCTCAACTTTCCATTGATTCTTAAGCCTAAAAAAACATCACATTTTTGATAATTCTGTACAAATATTATACCTGTTCCTCTTCTATAAGCCTCTGTGCTTCCTCTTCCTCCCTTTTCTGGATGAAAATGATTTACATCAAAAATGCTATATCAGTACATTTTGTATTGAGCACTGCATCAATACATCATCTACAAAGACTACAAGGACAAGTACACTTGCCTAGCTAAATTTACACAAAATCAAAGAGTCAAATTCTCGTTTTAAAATGCAGACACCAAAAATAATTGCATATTATGTCCAGCTTACTAAAATTTACAACTAATACCTTTCTTTCTTCTTCTTCCCTTATCTTCCTCTCTTCTTCCTGTCGTCTTCTTTCTTCTTCTCGAACCCTTTCTTCTTCCTCACGAATTTTACGCTCTTCTGCCTTTCTCTTATCCTCCTCCTAATAAAAAACAAAACCCTCACTGAGTAATTTAATTTTAGCTGGTTTACTCAGGATAAGTTTTCATCATACAGGAACTATTCTTATTTAAACAAATAAAATGGAATATACCATATCTGTAATTTCACTGTAACCCACCTCTTTCTTCTTCTTATCCTCCTCTCTCTTCTTC